TTCAAATGGCCTTATAGTTGGAGTAATTCTCTTTTCGTACATGTTGACTTTTGTATTACGGAAATTATAGATTTGCAAATTCATTCTACTTTGTTTGCAGGTAATCTAGCCTCTAATTTACCTGTATTTAAAACAATACCAAGATATTCAGTGCACGTTAGTGGGCCCATGGTTTTGTTTGCCACAAGTGGAACATTTAATCGATTGAATACCATGGTCATTAACGCCATTGTTCTTTCAGCTCTGAAGGGTCAACAGTAAGAAAGTCATCCAGTAAGTGTAGAATGTTTTACCTTGTAATTATGTTCTGCTATAAAACAAATCGCTGTGGAGATATTGTCAAATATGTTTGGGCTACTACGGCATCCGAATGACAATCGCACATAAAAATAATAAAAAGATTCCCATTTAAAACAAAATAATGGCCATTGACTCGGTAACACTGGACATATTTTAAATGCATTTTGAATGTCGAACTTACAGAGTTTTGTCCCTATTCCGTATTTGGTAATGAGACGAATTATTTCATCTATCTTGACATACGACATAGAGCATAAATCTTTGTCTATAAGGTTGTTGATACTAATTTTTTTATCGTTGTGCGGTGCGGACAAGTCTAAAATAAGTCGCTTTTTGTAAGAATATTTACCTTCAACAACTCCCAACGGACTTACTCGATAATTATCAAAAGGTAAATGATCAAACAGACCATACACGAAACCGTTACATAGTTCTTTATTAATAAGATCTGAAACTGTATCTTTTTGTGACCTAGCACTTAAATTATATCTACATTCCATTGTTTTAATGTTGTCATATCTAACCATAGTATCAAAGCCATATTGTAACCCATTACATAAATAATCAACGAAGTGTTTGTCGGGATGACTCATTATTTCACGTTTTAGCTGTTTGACATTGACCAGGGTAGTAGAATGCATATCAACTTTAGTTAGTCAAATTTTGCGCGATGTCTTTGGTGTTTCTTTGTCGACCAGAGCTGTCTGATTGAATGAACACGATGCTGATTGGCGTTTCCCACAAAGAGACTGTGAATGTTCTGGCGAACGGCATTTTGGTACAAACATGTGAGAAAGAACAGGTGCGTATGGTACACCCTCTATTGCTATTTAAATTGTTACAAATCTCTTTACCGTCTTGAAAATATTTTGATCGGCCGTACTTATCGCTACTATCATCATTTCTCAAACTATTAACTTCTTGATGATTTGTTATGTTTCTCAGCTGCAGTGGACACTATTCGGTAGTGTGATCTCACATGTGGCATTATTTACACACATTGATTTGAATCCCTGTTGCTACGAGGGTGAATAAGTCTACTTTAACTTTATGTTCTCTTAGTAGTGTTTATGCTTTGGCGGAAAACATTTTATGATAATCGTAAAATTTTGAGCCATACAAATTGTTTATGTCAATAATTTCTTCTTCGTAGGCATCTAGTTCGGCGTTCTAGTTCTCCTGAATGTAGGAATCAGGAATAGTAGCGTTTAAAACGGTATTAGACTGGTTGTATAAATTTTTAAGTATAAATCCGTCTTTGATTGTGTTTTGCTACTTCTCTCCGGGATTTATTAAAAGAATTTGGGTAACAGTACTTTGTAAACCCGTAAGGAATTTGGACAGAGACGAACGCGTTACACATGTTATTTATCTGAATAGCCGCCGGTTCTGGGTTGATGACTGGGCGTTGCTTCGTGGGGGATTGTTGGATTTCCATATCCGGATCTACTACTGTTTCATTTTCAATTAAGTTTGCCTCCTTTCTTTTTTATTTAATGTTACTGTTGATTAGTTGTAAGAGAATAGGTTTACCAAGATCGGCTGGAACTTCTATATCAAGCCCCTTTAATTACTGGATTAGTTTTGTCTTACTACACGTAAATGGGTCACTTTCCTTTTCGTTTGTCTCTTCGACATTGTGGTAGCCATTATGTCAATAAAAGAGAATTGATTATAAAGTTGAAAAGAAATAGGAATTCGAATATCCAAGTTCACTTACATCCAAGAAAGGACATTTTATCATAGCTTACACAATTTAAGTTCGTGTTGCTTGTTACAGTCTAGATGACGGATTAATATTTAAAATTTCTCAATCGAGGAATAAAAGAACAGAAGTACACAGTACTGATATATTGTTATGCGATAACACAATTAAACAAAAGAATTGCTTCAAAATATAAAATAGTGTCCTTTTTTCCAAAAAGAATTAGCAAATCTGAGTTCTTACCACGTGTATCTCTTGAACAACCAATAAGAGTAGCACATACAGACACGAGCTTCTTTACACGAATAAACCACGCCTAAATTATATGTAAGCTTACAAGAAACAATCGAAAAATTGCAAAAACACCTAATTCTCTAAATATGAAAAAAACATTGATATTTAAAATACTAACAATGACTGACGAGGTTCCTGATGGAAATAACATGAATAAGCATCAGGATTGAATTATATTTTTTTAGATCGCCAAAACACGTTTTACAATTTTGGTGAACATTACAAATGTGTGTTTAAAGCGGAATAATTCATTAATCAATTTCATAAATTCCATATGCATTAATACAACAACTATGTTATATAAGATTAAGATTTCATTGTCAACATTTTTCTGGATTTACTTTCATCAGGAACCCTCAAATATAGATATTTGAAAGCCAAGGGTGTATAAAATACCCAATAACGTTTAGAGCTATATGATTCAAAAGAGAGGCGAAAGATACCAAAGGACATTCAAACTCATAAGTCGAAAATAAAATGACTACGCCACGGATTAAAAAGAAAAAGACCAACAGACTAACAATAGTACACAAATCACAAATCAAAACATAAAAAATTAAAGACTGAGCAACACGAACCCCACCAAAAACTTCGGGTGATCTCATGTGCTCCGGAAGGGTAAGCAAATCCTGCTCCAAATGTGACACCCGTCGTGTTGAACATGTTAGTACAAACCCGGTAATAAGTCTAATTCGGTAAGTCACTCTCTGGGAAAAGGGGACTGGATTGTAGTTACGCCATTTGGAACATATTCGCTATCACCTGTTAAACGGATAATCTATAACGGTCAACCAACTCATCATGGCGTCCGTAAAATTTACGAAGGGATGATTTCAACTTCACCACTTGGAACTCTTGGTTCAATAGCTTCCTTGTGAGCAGCAACCCTCTATCAAGGAAATCATGATAGGAAATACAAGCCCTGGAATATCGTATCAACTTGGAGATATATACTCCGTATGCAGGCGCTGCTTGAATGTTGCTACATAGAAATGGAAAGTTCACAATTGGGAAGCTGAAATCATCTCTTTTGTCGTAAAGTTTTGTTTTCAACCGACCCTCATTGTCAATTTCTAGATGTAAGTCAAGATATGAGGCAGACTTAACTGTGTCTGTTGTATTCATTCTCTCAAGTTCGATGGGATAGATGCGTTCAACATAGTCACCAAATTTTGAATTATTTAGTGAGAGAACATCATCTAAATAGCGCAAAGTAAAGTTAACGGATACTGCTAACTTATTTTCTTTTTCCTAAGAATTTCCTGTATGAAGTCAGCCTAATATGAATAAAGGAACAAGTCGACAAGAAGAGGGGCACGGTTTGTTCCCATGGGAATGTCAATTGTTTGTTGAAAAACACGTCCTCCAAACGTAACAAATATGTTGTAAATCAAGAAATCAAGCATCTTGATAATATCAGTTTCAGAGAATTTTTTGTTTGAAACAGATTGATTTTTTACAAAGTAGGATGTATCCCTCCCTAAGACAAGATACGTGTATCTATGTTGGCCATTCTATTTTATGAAACAAAGCAGGACCAACTCTTTCAATTTGTGTTTTAGTTTGAAATGGGGAATACATGTGTAAAATGTAGAAAAGTCAAATGTTTTAATACTATTGCAAGATGAAAGAGTCTTAGATTATATGTTCTCTAAAAGATCTTTGGATTTTTTTAGTTTCCACATCTGATTCACAAAACCTCTAGAATATGTAGTTTCACAATACCTTTGAAGCCCGGCTTTGCTGATAAAATTGATGTTAATAATTTAGAAAGAAATTTCGTGGAGCACTTGGAAGACCAAGCAATAGAACTTTGTTTGCTATGACACTTATGTAGTTTAGGTATCCAATACATTGATGGAAGATCCAGTTCTTCATCTTTGGTTGAAATTCCAAAGGAACATAAAACAGACCTATTATTATCTAGGATTTCCTCTTTGGTAAGTGTCACGTGGACAAAAACAATAACCAAATACATCAAAGTCAATTTTGTCCAATGGAGTTGGAACATTAGTTATTTAGTAGTTTCTTTGTTTATCAACAGAGGCGCTTCCGCGCATTATACAAAATGTGCTTCACTCGACACTTTTACAACCCAATAAAATTATAAAAGGAAGCATTCAAATCTTAAATGATATTTGACGAAATAGCATTTAATTTTTTTTTTACTTTTATTTTTTGTTGTATTGATCATTTAAAAGCAATTTCCGATTTAAAAATAAAGCTCAAAGTTGTATATCAACTTTGTCAAATTGCTATACATAAAAATGTAAGAGATCACCACTGGTTTTTATAATAACTTGAACATATGATTCTATATTGATTTTATTCTAACTACAAATTTATTTTGATATCAGTACGATAGATAACATTTATTTGTCAAGTTACCAAAAACAGGAAGTTATAATATCTATTGATTCTTAAGGACAGGGTTTGCTTCTGCAAATAACGACGAGTTGAAAGATTTCAAATGGAAAACATTTGCAATATTTTTGTACAAGTTACACTTGGATTTTTTAAGTAGACATCATTACATAGTTTATGTTACTAAGTATTGACAGACCGTTTTAATAAGTACAGTTATATGACTACAACTGAATCACTGATAGCAAAGAGGAACAGGATACTACAAGTAGATTGGGAAAACTATATTTTTGTTTGAACTTATTTTATGCGAATTATGTTAAAAGATATAATTAGGATGTGTAAATATCAGATTGTGCCTATATTTTGCATGTCACTTTCTTTAGTATGTACCAAAGAGTGCAACATTGCAGATCCAGAAGATTCAAAAGAATTCGTTAAGGTAGCTGACTGCAGTAGTAGAGGCTTAAGCGAAGTTCCGCAGACGCTTCCCCGTGACATAACCGTTCTGAATCTGAGGAGAAATAAATTTCAAATTATCAGCAAATTCTCATTTAAAAGATACAGATTTTTACAAAAAGTAACGCTTGCTGAAAACAAACTTCATAAAATTGAGGATAATGCATTCTTTGGATTAAATCGATTAAATATTTTGAATATGTCGGACAACACTTTGGATTTGTTAACTGTCTACACACCCAAAATATTTTTACCGATTGAAAATTTGACCATTTTAGACATACAACGGAATATACAAGAACATAACAACGATGTGTACCGTTACCCTGATGAAGCATTTGCTGTTTTAAAAAAAATAGTATATTTGGCTTTAGATCTGGCTCCCTATCCAGATTTTGGACAAGGTTTTAAAAACTTACAAAACCTGAAATCGTTAATATTCGATCGTTGCTTTTTGAAATATCTGCGAGAAAACACATTTGAAAATTTTTCTTTAAATCTAGAAGAATTAACACTGACTAGATGTCTTCATTATTTTTTACATGTTGAGGATAACGCTCTTTCCCCTTTTCCAAATATTGCCAAACTAAATTTTGAAGAATCATGCATGCATTTAAAACAGGCTTTAAGTATGCTGTCATCTTATAATGGCAGGACTTTGGACATAATTAATCTAAGAGGTCTCAATTGTCCAATGTTTGATAATGAAGAATATCCGTTTGTGTTAACAATCAAAAAAGAAATGATGAGATATTTGAAAACTATTTGTGTAGAAACTTTAGATTTATCCGACAACGGGATAGTGGATTTTGAAGAAAACTCGCTATTGTCATTTGATCGACCAGAATGTTTAAAACATTTATACTTTAAAGGAAATAGATTTGCATTTACTAATGGGAGACAAATCGATGAGCTGAATACATTTTTTAACAAATCCATCGTATTGCAAACGTTTGACTATTCCTTTATTCCAGTGCGATATAGGCTGGAAGAAAATGATTTTCATCATAATAACGAACAAAATTATCCTTCTTCTAACAACGTCATATTTTTGCCACGTTCTTTAGAAAAATTGATTTTAAGTAATTTACTATGCGATGATATCCTAAGATATTTCATGAATCTTCACGGAAGCAATTTGACTTACCTTGATGTGTCTTTTAGTTATTCAAATAACATTGTTCTTTTCGAAGGAAATGCTTCATACAAAACTGAAACTTTAGTCTTAGATGGCCATTTCCATGCAGCACTGTACCAAATAGAGCTAGTAAGTTTCATTAATGTGAAAACTTTATTGTGGAGAAGTGCTAATTTGCTATATGCTATGTATCCTTTGGATAATATGTTTTTTAAAAGATTCATAGCTTTTTTCAGAAAATTGAAAAATCTCGAACATTTGGATATGTCTTCAAACTTACTCTGGATTTTGCCAGATGATTTATTTCTTGAGTTGGATCATCTATCAGAATTACAGTTGTCTCAAAATTTGTTTCAGTCCGTTCCTACTGAGATCATTGTTTGTAGTACTATTAAAACACTTGACCTTCGCAATAACTTGCTTTCAACAGTAGATTATGATACACGTGTTTGGGCGGATGCAATGAACAAAAAAAATGGTTTGTCCTTATATATTGATGGCAATGCATTTGAATGTAAATGTGATAATTTGGATTTTATCAAGTGGATACAAGAAACCAAAGTAAATCTAGACAACAGATCATTCAAATGTACACTTTTAAACGGTACCGTGATAACTGTACTCGAAGCATATGAAAAGATGCATGATTTATTTTCCCACTGCCGAAATTCAATATGGCTGACAGTTTCTTCAACTTTGTTGGGAACCAGTATTATAGGTGCTGTTTTACTAATAATTTACAGTAAACGATGGAATATAGCTGTATTTTTCTACCGCAAATTCCGAAAAATAGTTGAAAAAAAATATGGTAAAAGTTACACTTATGACGTTTTCGTTTCATATGGCGGGGACTGCATACCTTGGATTACAAGTTGTCTTATTCCAAAATTAGAGAACGAGTGGAAACTAAAAATATGCTTAAAAGATCGCGACTTTTTACCCGGAAAGTCATATTTTGATACAGAGGCAGAGAGCATTGAAAGTAGCAGACATGTTATATTTTTACTTACTCCAGAATTCAAAACCTCACATGACTGTCTGTTCGAAATTGAAAGAGTGAAGCATGAAATAAGGATGAAAAACATAGAAAACATTATAGTCATATCAAAAGACATGACTATAAAAGACATTCCTGTTGAACTTGCTAATATTTGGAATTATGTAATTTTTATTCAATGGCCAAATAACTGTGATGACCTTGATGTCACATGGCAAATACTGAAGAAGTGGATTAGCAGTGATTGGCTTTAGCTAAACATTTGACACCGATATGAGTACGCACAACACTTGACCAAAAAATAATTCTCGTTTATTTCGATTCTAATAGGACAAATACGGTATTTTTCTAGGTGGAAGCGTGCGAAAATACCTTAGGAATGTTTGGCTATTCCAGTTTCCTCCCCATGAATTATGTACATTACATTTTCATATTTAATAAGTTTAAAATCTAATAGCAGGGTAAATATATCGTGTTTTAATAACAATATATAATAGAATTTTATGTAAGCTACTAACATATATATATATATATATTATAAGGATAAAAATGAAAATAACGAGAATGCAAACAGTCAGTTTGTGCGCATGTGTCAAACATATTTCGTGTTAATTAGAACACGGCTTTGTTTACAAAGCGTAATAAGGACGTCATATTAGACTAATTGATTAGTATTATGGTAAAACGGAATCGTATTATAAACCCGTTTTTGGCAGCTTGATTTCGACATCAATCGACTATAAATCTATAAAACAACACTCGTCAAACATTTATAAGACCTTAGTCCGTCAGTGTTCAGATTTGTTTTAATTTTCTCTTAATCAAATTGTTTTAAACCTTCATTTTTTGAGATCTTTTCATTTATATTTTGATCAATCTATTTATCGTTTTCGACGAGTAAGCGAGTTACGATAGATCTGAATTTCAATCAGATTATGTATTTTGATATGAGCAACATCCCTATCAAAGCATAAACTCCTGTTCGATTTCTAAAATAATGATGTGAGCTATGTTTGTGTTAACGCTTATGGTTATTTTGGCTTTACAAAATAAAATTATTTAAAAATTGAAAACGACACGTTATAAATTTCATGTGTCCGGAGCACTCTGGATTTACCTTCAAGTACTATATAAGTGGTGTATTTTATTACCCATGCATTGCTCTGATGTCTTACCTGGGTTTGGCTCTGTTCTAGTACATTTTGGTTCTATCAGCTCTACGACGTTTGCATTAAGCTTTGGATTTTGAAATATTTTGGCTTAGAGCATCTCCGTTAAGACATTAGTTATCGCAATTCGCATCATGTGCAGTAAAATTGGTACCGTGACTGTCATTAATTTTAAAGTCAGATGGATGTGTTGTTAGTCTGTGATATATGTTTACACCGTGTTGGCTGCTTGGTCCCAATTATTGTCTCACTAACATTATGACTATTTAGGTTGCTCGCCCAATTTTATCAATATAACGGAACTAGAAACAACTGACATACAAAAAAAAATTAAAATAACAAAAATACCGAACTCTATGGAAAATTAAAAACGCATTCAGGAATATGACAGTTGTTTTTACTCGTTCCGTTGGTTGATAAAGTTTGATTTTGTCAGCTTTAATGGACTTCCCCTTTTTGAATATACCGGTATGTTTGTTATACTTTTTTCGATACACTTGTGGTGGGGGAGTAATACCATCATTGTTTTCCCCTATAAGTCTTTGTTAACTTGTCATTTTTCAAAAAAATGTGCAGAATTTATCTTTGTTTCAAATAAAGAAATCCATGGCATGAGTAAAGTTTTATCCTGTTCAGTACTACAGTGAAAATTTCACATAATATGTCATTGCATATCAGATAACAACCATCATCAGAGTAAACCAATCAAGTTTTCCTTTCATTTTTTTCCTGTTTATAAGCTTTAGTAACCATGTCACCTCAAGTTTCCAAATAATTTATAGAAAGACCAAATAAAAAAATGGTGCTTTGGAACACCTAAGATATATGTTTATTACTCAGAAAAAAAATTCTGCAAGGAAAGAGAAGTCGGGTTGCCGCGCTCCGTTCAAAACTCCCATGTATTGTCGTGGGTATTAATTATCTTTGACTGAGATAGAATTGCATTTTCATAGATATTTAATAATTTATACTTCGTTCAAAATCTAAATTCGCTGATTCTTTTTACCCACTAAGAAACGAAAATAAATGAATCCACAGTAGTTTTTCTTATTATATTTGTTTTCAGGTCCCCAATAAACTTAAAAAACGAAATGTTCCGTTAAAATTATAATTTGGAGAAACCTACTAGTATTTCATAAGATACTAATTTTTTGAAAAAGTGATTTTTCTTTGAAAAAATGTCATCTTAGAGGGTCAGATGTGTTACCTGTTAGCCAATCATATTATTAGAAATCAGATTGTTCAAGACACATACGAATGCAGTCAATCTATGACAGTTATCTATAAATCCAGATGTCATCGTAGTGTTTAAATTTAAGATAAACAAAATAAAAAATCTAGCATTTTTTTTTTTTTTTTGGTATATCTGTCTGGCCATAGGAGATATGCATTATATTGGGATATTCTGCAACAGAAAATGCAGGAGACAAATGTGTACATAAGTGAAAGTAAATTTTTACGCGGCAAAAAATAAGAATGCGTGGAAATAGATGAATATAAATGATCAATCCGGAAAAATCTAGCAATATTGAACCAAACAACAACGCACCAAAACTTTGTTAAAATTGCCCTTTAATACACCCAAAAAATTGAATGCATGATAAGTAGAAAAAAACAAATGAACTTGAAAAAGATATTACTTTCTTCTTTCACGATCAGCAATTACTTCATGTACTTTATTAGCAGACAATGAATATAAACAAGGTCATCCAATTCACATTTCGACTTTGTGATATACTAGGGTACTCCCCCTAACCTTTGCTGACACACTCGTTCGGGTCTAGGGTTTTAAGTTATATGGGCCATTTTAAACGCAATGCCTACCTCTGAATGGTAATAACCTGATTTTGTTAAGACTCTGATTGGTCTCCGTAGTTTTGAATAATGAAAGGTCATTGAAAAAGTAACTGTCGGTTATTATTTTTCTTCTTTTTTCTTTAATTGTAAAACTTTCTGTTTGTCTGGTCTGTTGAAAATGGAAGATAAACGATCGCATTTACTTTAGAGATGGGACTATATGTGTAGATAACGAACAGATTATGGAATACCCATATGGCAATTAATTCCTTTTCAATCTCTTTCAGTTACGTGTAATGTATAACTGTAAAATATTTAAATACTTCGAGAAGTCAGAGATATTTATACGAACTGTTCTATTTAATTTGTCCGGGGGAATGTCCCGTTTTCAAGATTCATAATTATAAATAAGAGATGTGGTATGAGTGCCAATGAGACAACTATCCATCCAAGTCACAATGTGTAAAAAGTAAACAATGCATATTTCATCTCTTTCGTTCAATTTCTTTATTCAAAGTATTCGTTAAATTTCTATATTTAATCATCCTGTTATTCATTGTTGTTTCAGTTTACATTATTTCACTTATCATAGAATTTTGAAGAAGCATAAACCCTTTTTTTTTTTTTTACTTTCATTTTAAATGTTATTAAAAGACGCAGACCTTGCAGAAGACTAATATCTCCTTTTTATAATTGATTAAGTAAAAACAGACCTCGAAGAGGACACCCATTGACTTGCCTGTTTGAAACAATATCAAATATAAACAAAAAATGTTACTTTAAGGATGTTCGCTCCTCTTGTTTTTGAATTTTTGCCAGATATTCGGAATCCTCTGGTTTTATCCATGTACTGTCATTAAAAAAATTTCCCTGCTAACCCCTACTTTTCTTTTCATAATTTTATTACATATAGTTTAAAAAGCCATATTTGAAAATGCTATAAAATCCTTGTTATTTTTTCATAATTTTGTAAAGAAAAAGGGTGCCAATGTTAAATGTATGAAAAGTCTAGAGAGAATTATTTCCCGCCAAATTTTCAATGGCTTATATCTCGAAAACATACACACGGACCCTTCATTTTTTTTCTGCTTTTTTAGTTCCTTTATTCATATACTTTCAACTTATAACAGTCTTTTAAATAGTTTGTTATTTTGAGACAGAGTAGCGAACATCCTTAACATGATAATCGATAGTTTCTTACGACACTTCATCGAACGCAAGCCATCTCATGATTATTATTGATGGCTCATGAATATATTGAAGGCTGGCCTCAAGAATATTAACGCCGGTTGATATCGACGGCTAGCTTGACACAGTCTAGTATTTAGTCCTACTGATAAAGACTTATAAAGAGGCATGAACTACCTCTTTTTGTAAAATCTAATGCATCAGCATTTACAGAGTACGAGCTTGTGATCTTTTTGGCACATTAATAAGACCTGTACCTATTTGTAGTTTTAAAATTTATTATATCGATTTATATCTAAAATATCCTGCCTAAGTTTGGTAAATTATCAACATCAATAATATTAAAAATACTATAGAACAAAACTGAGAAATAAGCAAAATAACCCTATAGTTTCAAATAGATACAGACAATTGATAGAGCATCTCGGTAAAAGATGCATCTCCATTCTGAAATTCTCTAAATACAGCCGTCCGGTCATAAATAGCGCAACAACAGTAGAGAAAACAATTTCGGTGCAAACTATGATCTATATTCTTTTTTAAAAGATACATTAACGTTATTTATTTCATATCGGTTACGAATTAGCTTCTCTTATTGGATAACAAGGGGCCACATGACATTCTGTATTCATCAGTTAAAAATTCCATCGGTCTTTAACAGAAAACCGGACATGAAAACCGGTCGTTAACGGACTTTTACATGTTAATGACCAGTGGGGCGTGGTTTCTCTGTTTAGAGTGATGTCCCTTTAATAAAACGCAATCGAAGTGGTTTAATTGTTTACCATATGTTTTTGTTTATTATAAAATTATAGAAAACTTTATTTTGTATCCATATACTGAAAAGTTGCACTTAATGGCAGTGACTTATAGTTATCACTATGACTGGTCTTCACTCTTTCCTATAGAAATCGTACAATAACTCGAGTTTGCTTTGAACAATTTGAATGTATGAGAATTTTTAAAAACCTGGTTCCTCAATGAAATAAACATAATAGTTATTGAAGAACTGGTCATTATCGTGATACATGGACTGCCCGTAGGACAGTGGTATTGACTGCGACAGCGATAATGACCTCGCCTACGGCTCAGTCATTATAGCTGTCTTAGTCAATACAACTGTCCTGTGGTCATTCCATATATCACGGTAATGACAAGTTTTTCAATAACTATTATGTAATTAAAACATGAGACTCAGAAGGCATTTATACTTGTTTTACAAAGAACATCTCTTTAAATACATGTATTGATTTGATTCGTGCGATACTGATTAATAATTTAAATTACGCAACA